GTGTTTACATGTAAATATATGTTGCTGACGGCGAAGTGCATGGATATGTTAAGGAAATAAATGATTCATGTCCAAACGACGTTTCACTTTCATTGCTCATTCCACTGCAGACCTTGAAAAACTTCACTTTTCTAACGTTTGACGTCTGTGAATTCTCGCTGTCAGTCGTGATAACCATGAAAATTTCATATTTGCACATTCTAAGGAATTTCTCTTCCTATACACACATGCATATGTGTATGTATAAGTATGAAATCATGAATAATTAGTAAAACTCTGTATTGGAAAACGTTTTTTTCACATCCAAGAACTTTGCATCCAATATGATAGTGATCATAATACTATTTAAGATATAAGTACTTTTATATAAAGATAAAGATATCTTAAGGATAAGGAGGATCTGACGAGGGAGTAAAACAGGTGAAATACGCATAGGTCAGTTTGGTCCTTTGCGATACCAGATGGAATTCACTCGCCAAGTCCAAGAGGAGTAGTCATCGTTTAAAATGCGAATTTTAACAGACTTTGAGTCCTCACTGTCGACACCTCAAACAGTGTATATTTACAAAGTAGTCTTGCCAATGCGGGACAAGTGCACAAAAGGTGTTCCATTGTTTCCCTGCTGCAGTTTTTAGGTATTTCCTACTTCCGATCTATCGTTATGCAAATGAATTTTGCGGCTTTGCTCGTTCCATCGGGTTTTGATTTTCTTTACCATGCTCCCGTCGAGTTAATTGTATAGAGAATGCATTGGTTTCTCAATATTGATCACGTCTTCGGATGTTAGTCGTACACCATTCATTGCCCTCGATGCCTTTGTGGCCTGACAACCAGTAGAAGTGAAGTTGCTTGCTTCTGGCAAAACTTTCCAATGCTGCTATGCTTCCCAAAATACTGCTGGCTGGCGGTCTACTTAGTTGTTGACCTCCAGGTACATTTTAGGCCAGCTCCGCGGCTTTCGCAATAGCAAGACCTCAGCTTGAAATATACAGCAGCGGTCCAGCAACTTCCCCGCACCAACTCCATAGTCCATTTTCGAATCATCAGTATAGATGTTTAGAGTGTGCGCATAGCTAACATACTTTTGTGCCAGCCATCTTTTTCTATGTCTACTTTGAACCTTCGATCCCAGTTGAAAAGTTGAAAAGTGGGGTCATGTCCTTGGTGTTTGTCCAACCGCTATTAACCACCGAGTCAAGCCCGAAAATTCTATATGTAAATTCTCCTGCAGGCAATAGTCGTCAACCCCTGATATTGCTGCGAAGGGGCTTTGCCTTTCAAGTTCCCTAGCAATTTATTCACCTCTAATGTCCATAGAGGCTCCGCTCCACCTTGGGGAGTACCTCCACAGACTTCCTTGGCTATTTTAGCGTAACTCTATTCAGCTCTTATCCGTCTAGAGATCAAAGGGCAATTTTTGTAAATTTTTGATTTTATTATTTTTAGGTGTTATTTACGGAGAAGGCTTTTTTAGCGCCTTTGGAGATATCGAATTACTCAAAAGATTTAAATTATTTCAAAAATTTTCCCTGCATGTTATTTATTGAAGGATATATAAATATACCCTAACTTTCCATGCATCTACCAGCTCATATGTTTGTAATGTAAACGGTGTTTCAGCATATTCTGATATATCTATCTTACTTAATCTGTCAAACGCAAATCTTGCATAGCTTTAAGGGTCGCAGTTCGAAAGTCGCAATGAACTTTTTACTTAAATATTTAAAATTATAATAAACAAAATGTCTGTGACACCCTAAAGTGATAACAAAATATTTGAAATATCTCAATTTACCGCCAATTTAGTGATATTAAAAGTATTAGTAACAAGTAAGGAAGGGCTAAGTTCGGGTGTCACCGAACATTTTATACTCTCGCATGATAAAGTGATAATCGAGATTTCAGGCGTGGTTGTGAACCGATTTCACCCATATTTGGTACATGTCATCAGGGTSTTAAGAAAATATKATATACCGAATTTCATTRAAATCGGTTGAGTACTTCCTGAGATATGGTTTTTGGTCCATAAGTGGGCGACGCCACGCCCATTTTCAATTTTTAAAAAAAKCCTGGATGCAGCTTCCTTCTGAYATTTCTTCCGTAAAATTTAGTGTTTCTGACGTTTTTTGTTAGTCGGTTAACGCACTTTTAGTGATTTTCAACATGACCTTTGTATGGGAGATGGGCGTGGTTATTATTCGATTTCTTCCATTTTTGAACTATATAAGGAAATGCCTAAAAGAAACGACTGCATACAGGTTGGTTGACATAGCTATAGTAGTTTCCGAGATATGTACAAAAAAGTTAGTAGGGGGCGGGGCAACGCTCACTTTTCCAAAAAAATTACGTCCAAATATGCCCCTCCCTAATGCGATCATTTGTGCCAAATTCATTTTAATATCTTTATTTATGGCTTAGTTATGACACTTTATAGGTTTTCGGTTTCCGCCATTTTGTGGGCGTGGCAGTGAGCCGATTTTGCCCATCTTCGAACTTAACCTTCTTATGGAGCCAAGAAATACGTGGACCAAGTTTCATCGTGATATCTCAATTTTTACTGAAGTTACAGCTTGCACGGACGGACGGTCAGACGGACGGACGGACAGGCAGACATCCGGATTTCAACTCTACTTGTAACCCTGATCACTTTGGTATATATAACCCTATATCTGACTATTTTAGTTTTAAGACTTACAAACAACCGTTATGTGAACAAAACTATAATACTCTCTTTAGCAACTTTGTTGCGAGAGTATAAAAATTGTATGTGATTGTGTCAGAGATATACAAAGGCAAAAATATATATATATTAAATCCAATCTACGTAACAATTTGCATAAGTAAAATGCTTAAATATTTCAACTGTGTGAAATTGTGAAAATATTTCAGCTCACTTACCATATTCCAATAAAAATAAATAACAAATTCACTTAATAAAAGTAATTCAAATTTTATTACATTTAAATTCAGTTATCTACTATAAAATATATTCAATAATTTGTTTGCAATATTTTAAACTTTTTTCTTTTTGTTCAAAGTTCTTACAAAATTGTCACTTTACAAATTTCACTTTGCATTTGCAGGTTGCATATGCTCAGTTGAGGGTTACACATACTTGCATACATGTATGCATTTAAATGTGTATGTGTGTGTGTGCATGTAGTTATTGTACAGCTGTACATGCATGTCTACATATGTATGTGTGTTTGGTTGCAGCGAGCTGCCACATTGCTGATATATTGTATATTTAAATGTTGCTTCATGTTTATATGTCAGCATGTTTGTATATATTTGTATATTTGCGTCTTTGCCGTAGTGACACACACTGTTCTTAATTTATTAGTTGTGCATTGAATTTACACCTGTATGAAAGTTTGTATGTCTGTATATCTAATGTTATAATACCGTACAATTCAATTACAATTTGCATTACAAATAAGTATATCTGTAGTTATAAGCACACACACACACACACACACTAATATAGACAAATCGTTAAACGTATTTGTGTGTGTGTGTGTAAATGTAACTTAAGTCTATTGCAAAATACATTCAGTTTGCTATTTTATTATTAAATTATTGTAAAGAAATCAAATTACGTACGGAATGATGCAAAAAAAATACATAGAATTACTTAAGATAAAATACTCATACATATAT